ATTGAAATTATTTTAAAGAAGGGATAAATTTAAAAAAAACACGTTCACTTCAAAACGGCCTTAAGAAAAGTAATTGACGTTAACACTACCTGTACCGCATGGCTCAGTCCGTTGAGCCAGTATGCTTCGGCGCAGCGTTAACTTCAATTAATTTTCACATAGCCAATTTTAAAACGTCCATATTTCTTAAATTTTGTCGGTAAAGAGGACCAATGGGACTATATTCTAATTTTTTCAAATAACCCACTATTGTAAAATTGAATTTCTTTAAAGCAATTGCAAAATAAATGGTAAAAAAAATTTTTTCAACTCAAATAATTTTCTAGAATTAATAATTTCTCAAAGTTCATTTTGATTAGTTTTTTAGGTCAACAGTTATCGTTTATTGAAAAAAGTTTGACACTATATTTCAAACAGCTGTAAAATTGACGATTTAAACAATTTTGAAAACTTCGAGATACGTTTATATATCATTAAAGACTATAACACATCCAAGTTTGAACACACTCCGCAATGTAATAAATGATCCTCTTATAAAAAATAAAGAATTTAATTTTCTGAAAAGTCGCCAACGTCGATTCACATGGCTCGGCTAATTAATTATTAATATGTATAAAAAAATAAAAACATTGATCTACAACTATCACAACATTTTCATAACTTCTGTTCTTTATTAAAATGTATAAATTCCATAATGCATTTTATATCCATGGTAGATACTAATTACCAGTAATCTTAATAAACATTGACTATGCTCGAAAGTAACTAAAGTAAAATTCCTGTCATCGATATTTGTTAGCGGTAGTAAAACTGAAATTACCGCCACTAATAACGTTATTCGTAATCAAGACGAATTTTCGTCACCAATAGTGGTTATTCGTAACCGAAACAATTTCCGTCATTGATAGCGGTAACTGGTGACCAGACAAATTTGAATCATTTGTAATGATTATCATAACCAAAGTCTGTATAATTATAATATTCGGAGCCACTGTGTATTGGAGCTTGTATCATCATATATTTTCCATCTATTGCTCCGATACATTTCAGAAAATTCCACTGATCATTAAAGTCGGCAGTTATTTTACACCAAGCTTCAGAAGTTCTTGGCACCTAACAGACAGTTGAAAGAAATTAGAAATGACAGTAGATCAGGGAATATAATTCTATGAACAATAATGTTTCTACCTGTATATACTTCTGAAGTGCTTCATTCAAAAACTAAACAGGTATCAAGTACTATTCGAGATACAATCTGCCTTCATACTTTAAAAAGGTAGATTGGCTAGTAAAAGAATCGCCTGTAGCTAAAAACCACAATGTCATAGCCAGACGTTCATGTACTGGAATAGCAGATCTATAATTAGTGCCCCGCTTTGCTATTTTCGGTTCTATTAATGACAATATCATTTCAAATACACTAGCTGACATTCGACAGAAGTTTCTGAAGCCACTTTGTTTCTCCACCCTTAAATCAGCCAAGAATTCCGTGACACTATATTTCTGGCGATTTTTAAACAATTCTCTGTCACCATTGTCGCTTATACTTTTTTCTTTTGAATTAGCAGATGGATAACCATAAAACCATCACAAGCTAACACCTGTTTTTGCGTACTCATAATTTGTTACAAATTTGAATAAATCTTATCAACATTTTTTCAACAATTTCAAGTTTTAATAAATAGCTACTGCACAACGAATACATACAACAAACTGTTTACTCTTAAGAAACTGAGAGACTGGTGCAACAGAATATTTGGAAGTGTTTGTGAACTGTTCGCTAATGAGTACACACCTTCACGATGGGTCAAATATATTGTATTTACATCTGTTGCACCTGAAGTAACAATATATTACACTTCCGACGGGTTTTATTATCCAAACGAAGTTCACGAATGGGCTTATATCACTATCGTACAATTCTAAATATTCATAAGTAATACTTGAGTGCAGTTCACATCTTTCTTCTTGTTGAATAACTTCTGTGCTAACCAGTAATTTTTACTGGAAATATATATTAAATTCAGCACTGTCACAAAAAACAATGGTTCTTGTGTAATAACAATAGATGAACAATCAAATGTACATACTATGAAGTCGACGACTTAATGTGCAACAGCTTAGTACTACCATAAGGACAACAAAAATATTTTCATCCTCAACCCACGTCGACATGTTATTCACGTTACAATGTTCACGTACGTGTTCCATTACGGAAAATTACACATTCCCCCAATGGATCGAACGTGAAACTCCTTGCCACTCGAACAATAATCATTACACCTTCGTACACATCTACAAAACTCTCCAATCGCGACCATTGTAACCCACTATCTTCATCTCTTACGCTCTCACAACCTGGTGTACAATCGCACAGATCGCGAACATTGTATTTACTTCGATACACCGTAAACAGCCACCTACGAAACCGGGTGCAACAACCCTCCATAACCACCAACACCGGTGGCTGAACCAATCCCGCAACTAGACGCCAGACGCGCTCGTTCGCGAGCCCGCAAACTCGATCAGCGAGTAAGAAGGACATGCAAGCGACCACTCACCGATGGAGATCTTATCGGGATACGCCGCGGGCAAGAGGGCCAGCAAAATGCACAAGGCAGTCGTCATTAGGGTGGAAACGGACGTTGGATTGCTGCTCCGTGAACTCCCGTGGTTCCGGCTATTTCCAAGCATAGTAGACACGACACCGTGAAAAATCGTCACGCGACGCCACCGACGCGACGAGGGTAGACCACCCGTTCCACGAACAACCGGGTGGAGCATCTTCCGTGCTCCGTGGTCTGACACAAACTGCCGTACTCCACTTGCCGTGAACTCGATCTCGCTTGAACCGCCCCAGCATCCCTCTCCTACGTCGGCCTTCCCCTCATCCCTGAACCCAGGACCGGCCATCATTTAACCAGCCCTTCCGCCCTTTGCGTCCCTACCCTTCGCCCCTATACGTTTCTGTTCTCCTCTCTTCGTCCCTCTCCTCCCCTCCACCATCCGCTTCGCTACAGATCCTGGTCTCGGTACCATCTCCACCACCAACCCCCAACACACACTCCACCCGCCGCCTGTACCGTGTTTTCCTCTCCCGCTTCCTCTCGGTCGCTACGCCTATCCCTTTCCCTCCGGTTTATCCGTTCCCATACCCATGATGCAAGCGCACGCTTGACGCGCATGTTACGACAGAAGCGCACCGCGCGCGGTTCCTACACTTCCTGCTACCTTCGATCAGATACCGATGCGCTCCGACAACTCTGTTCGGTCGGTACGACGAAACAAACATCGAGAGTGATTGCTTTCGAAAACGACGATAATAAGTCACGGTACGGATTATCGCAGAGAAACATCCAGAAAACGCGAGACGAATCTGTTGGTGGTAAAATTGATGTTACCAAACGGCCGTTTCGATGTTCTTGCAGTAACGTTTGTGTGGTTGACGTGATACAGGGGCATGTACTATTCTACGGTATATAGTGGTAATACGTTCCGATATTCTTTCAACTTTATACTTTATCATCACTTGATGGCAAGTGTTAACAATGATATAAATTCTTGAATGGTTTTGAAACACCGAAAGTCCTTGGTGAATGTATATGATATATTTAGATGCAGAATTTAAGGGGAATGTATTTCGCGTTGAGCATGCGCGAACTTTACCAATCAAGACTGGCGGGAAATATTTAATAATTCGAAATTGTTTACACCCATAATCTAAGCATTTGGTAAATGTCTTAACATGTTTAAATTATAATATCTCGCGGCAGTTACATATTGAGCAGTTTATTCAAACGCCTCAAGGCAGCCGAGTCATAAATCTCGAAAGTGGAACAATCGTATGTGCGTGACCGAAGCGATTTCTTGCTTTATGTAAAAGTTAATTCCCCATGTCTAGCAATGAGAACAGTATGCTCCTTTCTATTCGCTCTCTTTAAACCCGTGCAAGAGACCAACCTCAAGCCTCCCGGTTGCTTTGCTCTTTGACTCGACGTTCGTAAAGCGAAGCATGAAATAAAGGAAGCCGGCTGTACCGCTCGCAAAATGTCACAGGCATTGTAGGGTCTTAGGAACACGTCCAAGAACTACGACCGCTTTCGGCCACATAAAACGTATGTACTTACACGAAGTCGTAAAACGCCGATTCCCGTTGGTGATCAACATCGAATCCGAAGTGTTGTTTCCATCTTGTTCGGATTGGCATCGATCGGTATAAACGCAGTAAACTGAACTGACAGATTTCACCTCCAATTATGAGAGCAAAAGTTTCTGATTGTAAAACTCGAACATTGTAATGGATATACAAAAATAACATTGATAGTACGATTAACACTGGTGTAATTAACTTATTTATGCATATCTTTCACTACGCACGCGATGTACACACGCACCACTTAGTTTTGTCAATTATCGAACTAATGAGTTCTTTCAATTATCGAACGATTTATCGAAAGCAAGTTGCGCATGCGCATTAGGCAAGTAATAGTTTCCTTTCACCTGACATATGTCTGGAATGGGAACCTATGGTTGGTAGACGCGTGTAGAGGCGATTAGAATATATAATAAACTGCGCGGTCTTATGGTAGGGATGAAGTATGACCGAAGGACAGAGTAGCGCTGGAGTAACTCTTCTCTTGCTCGCACATCGCAGAGAGAGGGGATAAAGCGACTGGAGGACTATCAGGAGAATCCCCCACCAACAACTCCATTGGAAAGAAAGAAATGTTACTCCAGTTATTTTCCTCTTTTTCTAGTGCTGACCACTGCCGACTTCATCCCTACCATTCGCGACTCAAGCGACTATAGGCGGCAGTGCGATCGTACTGCCATAGCTGGTCATAGCGGCTGGAGAGTATAATGTGTGTACACCACGGACGTATACACAAGTCCGGAAACTCCTGTGGTGGGGGTGATCCCTTAAAGAAGACCGAAAGTTTCATGAATCTTCCGCTAGCCACACAGCGCTGCAATCGTTGTATATATTATGCATTCTTTTATATATTATGCCATGAGAGTGACAGATCTTAAAAAATTTTAACATAAGTGTTTTTAACGTTTGTGTAATTGGAAATTTTTACTGCAATGGATCCAGCATTGCTTAGAGAGCGAGAGCTCTTTAAGAAAAGAGCTCTTACAACTCCTACGTAAGTATTCGATCCAGTTTACTTTCCTAACCTACACTGTTGCATAAATATTACACATTGACAGCACATATTGTGCTGGAAATGTATTACAAGAGTATATACAAATACATTATTATATAATTAGTGTAAGAATTTAAGTATATTAATTAATTATACTGCATTTTAGTACATGTATAAATTTTAATAATAATCCTCTGCGACATGGTATAACATGTAAAAAAATTTATTTTCCTAGTGTGGAAAAGAAGAAAAAGGAACAAGAAAAAGATTCTGTCCGAGATGAGCCGCTTAAGAAAAAGCCAAAATTATCCTCTGTGTCCAGCGGTCCCAAATCGGACATGGTTAACTATAAAACTATGTCTGGTAGTACTCAATATAAATTTGGTGTGTTAGCTAAAATAGTGAAACACATGAAAGCTAGGCATCAAGAAGGTGACGATCATCCGTTAACATTGGAGGAAATCTTAGATGAAACTAACCAATTAGATGTTGGATCGAAGGTATGATGATAGTACATTAACATTATCGGGAGTATGAATCTTCGGACTGACTTGTTTATCAGGTAAAACAATGGCTTCAAACAGAAGCTCTTATTAAAAATCCAAAGATAGAAGTAACATCTGACAGCAGATTTGTATTTAAAGCAATGTATAAAATCAAAGATAAAAAATCTCTATTAAGATTATTAAAGCAACAGGACTTGAAAGGTCTTGGTGGAATTTTATTAGAAGACATACAAGAAAGCTTGCCGCACTGTGATAAACATTTAAAGGTAAGTATTAGCATGACCATATTGACATTAAGAATAAGATTTAGTTAGAAAAGAATATGATTTAGATTAGAGTAAGATTTAATTTTTACATAGTGAAATAGCACTTTCAATAGTAAGTTATAAATTGTAGAGTTTACAAAATGAGATATTATTCATAACTCGACCTCTAGACAAAAAGAAAATTGTCTTTTATAATGACAAAACAGCCCAGTTACCAATAGATGATGAATTTCAAAAATTGTGGAGGGCTGTTGCAGTCGATGCAATGGATGATCAAAAAATTGACGAGTACCTTGAAAAGCAAGGAATCAGATCAATGCAGGATCATGGCCCTAAAAAGCCAGCTCCGATCAAAAGAAAGAAACCTGTTAATAAGAGAAAACAATTCAAAAAGCCAAGGGATAATGAACATTTAGCGGATGTTTTGGAAACATACGATGATTCCAAATAGATATTCTTTAAGTCTTGTAAATAAAAGGAATTGATAATTGAACTGTTTAAAGAGAAATGAGAGTGTTTTGTAATCTTAACTCTGTCCTTAATATAATAGTTCATATGCACCAAAAATTAATTTTGGAGGTAAAGTTGTGCGCATAATTACATATCACATTGATACAATAAATAAATAAAAGTATTTATTGTCATGACTTTTCATTGTAAGTACAAAATAAATATAGATCAAGTAGTATAAGATCTATCTTAATTATGACCATGTAAAACATGTTCATAATGAGCCTTGTAAAACAAAGAAACTTTAAATATTTTGCATATTGTGAAAATATTGAACATTAAATTTTGTTTTAAATATCTGTATGTGACACTGCAGTCTTATACGGGCTATTGTAAATTTTAATTAACATAATGTCAGTATATTACTATTGTTTCGTGTTAATAAACTCTGTAACGTAAAATCTTGAAAATTACATACTTTGTAGAGTACAAATAAACGTTACATACGGTATTATATAAATCTTTGGTATTTATAATTTAAATGATAAGTACGTGTACGCAATTCTTTTCGTTTCTAATATAACACTGCAAAGTTTCATGAAAACAACCGCCACAATAATTCGTATTATACGTATCTTTAAATTAAACATTGATAATAATAAATTAAGAAATTATGTAGATTAATCTTTTGGTAGCGCCGAATCACTTTTCCCTCGTGAATAAGCACGCGTCGCCTTGCTACCAAGCATTCTGTCTAATAAAGATTGTTTGTTTCTCCTTCTGGCTGCCAAAACTTCCCGGCACAGTTCGTGGAAAGATTCAGCAACTTGGGTGACCTGAAGAAATTAATCATTTTTCAAGTCGGAGTCGTGTACATAAACGCCTGACAAAATGTTTTAAAATTATAGAGGAATTCGCTTCTTTAAACATTCTTCCTTTTTTTAGTGTATGTCTTCATAGCTCCGTCATTACTTCCAAGTCTTAAAAACACTCTCATTGTATGACACGAGTGTTTAAATCTACTAATTGGTTCTGAAATCTTTAAGAAGTTAGGCTAACATATTTATGTTGTTTAATAAGTAATACATTCAGCTTAATAATACAATTGAGTAAATAGTACAATCTATTATAGACAGTACAGTCCGAAAAATCTAATCTTTTGTTTCTTTCAAACAGACAACCGTTTCCAAACATTTCGTCAATAGTATAAGCGACTTGTTAGTAAAAACAAACCTGTTCAGCGGCGGATACTTCGCTGAACCAGCACTCGAAGTCTTTCGCAAGTATTTCTCCCTCTTCCGTACTAACTTGTCTTAAGTGTACCATGTCGGCTTTGTTTCCGACCATAGCGAGTGGCATCGTGGCTTCCGGATCAGCCACCGCGAGAGTTTCCTTCGCCTTCCGTACAAAATTGAAAGAACCTCGGTCGGTTATCGAGTAGACTAGCAGTAATCCGTCTGCCCATTGTAGCGTCTCCGTGGACGGTAATTCGTCTTCGCTCTGAAACATCGACCACAAATAACGAATGCTTTTTTTATTTACCTTTCCATCATTAATGAAATCGTTCAATAAGCATGACGTGCAGAACCGATAGAAGACATTACCTTTGGGCAGGTGTCCAAAATTTCGAAAAGAATCGGTTCACCGTCGACCAGCACCTCGTGTTTGTATCTGTTTTCTAAAAAAAAAAAAGAAGCACGAAGGCCGAAGCATTTTAAATTGCGACAAATAACTTATCCCGCGGGGGGGGGGGGAATTTGGGGAACTGAACTTATGAAAAATTACGTAAGTGTTATTATAACACCGTCTATAGAGAAGAGATCCAGGTACACATCGCGACGGTTAAGTGGGATCTTTCGGGTCCAGTCTAGTTTTAGAACCCTCGTAGCACGTGCTAGCGAGAAAGCCGCTTGTCTTCTGTCCGCGTCTGTATTTGTACAAAACAAGGAGTCTTGTTCAAGTATCAACCTCGCATTAGTACTCGTCCTGTCTAGTGTCAAATTCGTCTTCGATAAATTTAGACCAGACGCGGGCCGAGGTATGCGTAGGGAGCGTTATACACGAGCTTCGAGTTGGGCCATACAGTTTGCTGGCAGTTTCTCAAAAAATAAAAATCGCGTCATTCTATTGTCAACTCAGTCCACGTTTCGTCGTAATTTATACCGCGACTGGATGCCGTGTCTCATCGCAGGCGAATTACACGCTGTAAATTGAGATGTTTCTCACCTGACTGGTGATCATATTCCCCGATGTATCTCCTGGTTAGAAACCTCACTGTGAATGCTGGAATGCAAAGAGAACAAATGCTGCTGAAATGTTCATTCAAGTGACATACATTTTTTTTTTTTTTTTTGAAAAACTGAGGCGGCGAAGTAATACGAATTGTAGTATTTCGTAAGTGTACCTTTCGTAGCAGCTTTATTATTATTATAGTATTAGATTGTGCATTCATGAATAGAAATTCCGAACGCGCATCAGTTAGAAAGTTATCAACCTATATTTTCCGAGGGACCTACGTTCCATTTTCTACTGTTCGATTAGTTCAACGATATTTAAAGTACAAACGATTGGGTTTGGAACATAAATGTTTCGTTTATTAAGGAAGAAATACAGAACGGAAATATTATTTATCAGAGAAAAATGGATGATGCGATAAAAACATGTAATTCTTTCCACTTTCGTTAGGAATTTTGTTTATTGGTCGTTTGGTACGTAATCCAACATCCTGAAAACGAATGAGATCTTGCACGATACGGTACGCGTTCCGACATATCGCGATTTGATCAAGAGAAACGAGAGCTATAGCCTAGTGACCCGCTTCGAAGTATACCACACTATTTTTACCTCGAACTCGAACCTGCTACGGCGCCACAAATCCTTACACGAGCGTTAAACGTCACCAATGATGTGTTTCATCTTAAATTCAATGAAAACTGATCCGTTTGTATAAACGTTTCGAATGAATGTCATCGACAAAAGCTTGAATTGTCGTTACGTTTCATTGAACCACAAGAATATAACCATAAATTGAAAAAAAAGTCAAATGACAAAAACACAAGATGTAAATTTAATTTTATACAACTTATAATTATCCAGGACAGCTAAATTTATAAAAGGGTTAGATAAAAATTTTAACCGAACAAGATGTTAATTTAATTTTATACAACTTATAATTATCCAGGACAGCTAAATTTATAAAAGGGTTAGATAAAAAAATGTTCAAAAAACGAATAGGTTGGTTCCCTGGTACACTTTAAGTTCGTGATTGACAGGACCATCTGAACACTTCGTTGAGAAACGAATTTATCGGGGATCGGTGTATTTATGTTCGAATCCTTCGAGCAACATCATTTGGATGCTTTCCTTCGCGTGGCTCATTAAAAGTTCGCCGGAGTTCTCGTGCCAATTTCTTATGCGAATTGATTCGGTCGCTTCAATTGGTCTTATTACGTTTTCTTTCAACAAAAAGGAAAGTCAGTGTGGCGTCTGGTTAAAAATACATTCGGACGAGAAACGCACCGCAAAAGAAAGACATTACATGTCGTTCTTTTCGAGGAGGTAGGGGGGAGGGGGCAACGCACAAACGATATCGGTTACCTTTTTTTGCTCGTGGAAAATTGACGTTATAATCTTTTATAAGACACGGATCCAAGGAAATTGTGAAATAAAACTTTATAAATAGTGGTACATACAGTTTTGCGGTCAGTGTGGGGTGTGCAAATGTCGGGTTCGACCAATTATTTATTCACCTATGCGTTACACGTGCCATCACCAAAAATACACGTCGTTGGCTTCTTTCAGGGTCCTAGACACACGTTTCTCACACACCTATCATTCGTTAATTCATCTTAAAAACATTCGTGGAATTACTCTTATAAGAATGAAGTTGAGAAGAAAAGCGGTTCGAGGGGATTATGAATACATGTATTAACTTTTTTCTTTTACGTAAAATTTCATTGAACTTGTGTGTTTAGTATTATTCTTATTTGTTAGTTTAGAATACGTATATTATCTCTAATATTATTGCATGCTAAAACGTTTAGGTATATAATAATTCACAAATATAAGAAGAAACTAATTTTGAAAGTCTACTTCATTCAAACTGGGTGTGTGCTCATTGTGGATTTGGAACCCAGGTGTATGTCATCAAGTATTTCGAAACTACATGAAGCGGAACATTTGTTTCTAACATTACTACAGAGTTTTAACGTAAGAAACCCTGCCAACGTAAGGAAAACGAACGATGAAAGTAGAAACTGGTTCACCGTCCTAGAAAACGATGTTATTGATAGAAGCTTAACGATGAAGCTTTAGACGATCCCTATGTGTCAATTTCGTATAAAAAACAATAGACAATCAACGGGTCACTTTCTAAATTCGAACGAGATTTAAGGTAAGCCGTATCATCCTTATCCTTATATACAGGGTGGGGCAATATCTATTAACACTTCAGATATCTTTGAAATTATAAGGTTCACAGAAATATTTGTTAAACAAAAATTGTACAGTACGAAGAAAGCCATCCGATGGCGTTAATAGTTTTTTTTTACAGGTGGAGGTACTTTCGATATTTCAAGGTCACCTTCATTTTTTTTATGTGGATCGATATGTTTTTATTTCCGTAGAATGATAGATGAGCTTAAACAGAGTTCAACGACCTATTTCATAAGATCATAGTAGGTGTTCGAAATGATGACCATCACTGTCAATGTAACACTGAATTCTTTTTATGACTGATTGACCTGCAAGTCTTATAACGTCAGAACTTATTGACGTGCAGGCTGCAATAATTCGCTGTTGCATGTCTTAAGGTGCAATTGGTACTTCTTTGTACACTTTAGCTTTCAATGTTCCCCATAGAAAGAAATCTACAGGTGTCAGGTCTGGTGAACAAGATGGCCACGATATTGTACCGCCGCGACCAATCCAACGATTTTGAAATTTTTCATCGAGTTCCTTTCGCGCAATCAATGTGCTGGGATTATACTATTTAGTTTGTCGTGTAAATAAAAGCAATACTTCTAGCAAAGGACCCAATGTATCCTTAATAAAATTAGCGTAGATGTTGCCATACGAATTTCCATTGATGAAATGAGGACCAATAATTTTATCACTTGTGATACCGCACCATACGTTCACAGACCATTGTAGTGCAATTCTCGGGAATAATTTTAGGCTATCAAAATTTTTCGATGTACCAACGGAGGCGTTCGTAGGGTCAAAATACCAAGCATATTCGACAAATGGTTCAGATCTTCTACGCGCATGCGTAGTAAAGGCGGGATCCTCTTTAGAACACTTGAGCGACAATGTAAACACGTGCGCTTCCCATTCTTGAGTTAACGGTAGTGTTGTATAAAGCTCGAGTCTTTGAAGCTACAAAGCTTAGCCTTAAAGACTGAGTCTTTAAGGCTACAATCATATGAAGCTCGAGGCTCAAGGCTCGAGCTCCAAGGCTCGAGTCGTCGAGGCTCGAGGCTCGAGTTTCAAGGCTTTGAGTAGTCGAGGCTCGAGCCTCGAAGCTCGAGGCTTTTATGTTTAACACGTTCACTGCTGAGCATGTTTCTGCTGGTTTTGTCTTCAGCGCCAAAGAGTGATTGCCCATTAGAATCATATAATAATATATTACACAATATGATTATATGTATTGTGCAAACTTATCATGCGTGGTACATTAATCTTGCTGCCGGTCATCTATGACTCCCACGGCGTAAGAGTAGGTTTCCAGTCGATCAGATAATACTATATTTTGAACATTACAGACAAATTTTTAGCAATGTTTCATTTCGTCTACTATTCAATGGTTATTTTGTTTCATTTTTCATTTCCCTTTCTTGGTATCAATCTCTCATGTGTTTGCAGTCATCGCTGTATTTTTTAAAAACTGTATAAAGTATAATATTATAGATTTAGTGTAAATTCCATTATTTAACACTTAAGGGTTCTAGAGGGTTGAACCTTAAAGCTTCAGACTTAATGTGGAATAACACAGTGACGATTGGCAAAAATTAAGTTTTTTATATATATACTTTCAAAGTATAATTTTTCGAAAATATTCTACCAGAATATTAAGTCGAATATCACGTGAATAACGAAAAAAATGTCCCAACTTTGATCAATGAACCGTGAACAAATTGAGAAATTATTTTGTTCGACGCGTAACATCCTATGACTCGTATATCTTGCTCAAGTATACATAGGTATTTTGTAATAAAAGAAAATTTAACGTATTGTCCAAAATATATATTTGATCACCCTATTAATAATAGTTTAATGAGGTTTGGGTGTTGCAGAACTAATTTATAAAAACCATGCTTTTCTGGACGTTTTAGAATTATTCCCCCTTGAATCTTTAAAAGCTTGAGATTCGTGTAATATTAGAGTTAAAAACTGAAAATTTTTAGGTTAAGTTTTAAGGCTTCGAAAATTCAAGGTCTGTACATTACTTCACTACATACAATTTATACGACTCGAGCTTTCAAGCTTAAAGGCTCGAGCGTTAAAGACTCGAGCTTTCACGACTCAAGCTTCGAACCTTGAGGGTTCGAGCCTTTAGGGTTTGAACCGCGACTCGAGCTGTTAAAGCTCAAGACTCGAGGCTCATTTTAACAACACTAGTTGACGGTGAGCAGAGGCAGATAAAAAAATTTAAAAAGCTGCGTATCGATGTGAGAATACAAATGCAACTTTAAAACTTTTTTATTTTTGATTCTTTGTTAAGAATCAAACTTTACATGAATGTTTTTGCGTGTTTTCGTTTTTTTAATAGAACTTTGTAACGGTACGAGATAGAACAAAAGTTTAAATAAAAAAATTGTTCAGTTCTTTTGGATTGTTAAATCACCAAAAGAAAAAGTTTCTACGACGCGCCATGTATAAAAAAATTCTTTTTTTGTTATTTTACATATGAGTTCTTAACTTCTACTGTTCGTCGGTGAACATGAGCTCTGAACATTTATCGAATATTCACTACACTGCTATGTTCCACAGCAGGGGCCCAATCTCCATACTTCTGGATATAAGCAACGTAATATACAGAACTGGCATAAAGGTCTGTTAATTATGGGAGTGAAGTTATGGCTAAAATAATATCATATAGTATAGAACTTATTATACTTTTAAAAGTTGATTGGTTTATTATTATTGGTAGAGAATGGTGCTCAGGGATAAATGAACTTTGTATAGAATTATTAAAAATTTTTTTTTAAATTGGCTGATGTCACCAAACGGGGCAACGTTGCCATACCTTGTTGGTACTTAGTTATTCCAAGAAAACATTCTGCTTAGGTTGGACTACTCTACTTCACGTACGCGTAAACAATTTATTTACTGATAGGCATCGGTCCATGGCTTCACCATATCGAGGGCCACCATTTCGAACTAAAACTTAATACACAAACTAAACTGCCCTAGCAAGAGCGGGCACGTCAGCTAGTAGTATATGTACTCACCACTTTTCCCGACTCCAGGTGCTCCAATCACAGCCACCTTTACCTCGCATAGCGAACTCTTCTTTCTCCGTATACCTCTAATCGCATTTGACGTCATACTCCGCGCATTTGTCACTGCACAAAGCATAACAGAACCATGTAGCGCGGCTGCAATAGAAATCTCGAACAAAGGAACGGGTATATGTGCGTCCGTGTGTTGTCAGGTCGCGGAGTGTGTACGTGTGAATCGTAAAAATTTGTCGCGATTACATATTTCCTCGACCGATGTCCACCGGCGTCGATAACACCTCCAATTTTCATATACAACGTTCGAATCACTGATACAGATAAGCCGTCGTCTTATTTCAAAGGCCCGGCCTCTGCCAAGGAAGACACGGGACGGGAAATCGTACACGGTTAGTTAATAATACAGCCGGATTAACCAGCCGCAATGACATTTATTTCACGGGTTTTCCTGAAGGTATTACTGATGCTCCCGTTTACCCATCACGAATCTATGCATTCTGATCTTAAGACTTCTGATCTCAAGTCTTCTAATGTCAAGATGTCTGGTCGAAAAATTTCTGATCTCAAGACTTTTAATCTCAGGGTTTCTGATCTTAAGACTTCTGATCTCAAGTCTTCTAATGTCAAGACGTCTGGTCGAAAAAATTTCTGATCTCAAGACTTTTGATCTCAGGGTTTCTGATCTTAAAACTTCTACTCGCGAGACTTTCCCGTTTACCGGGTGCCCCCGTGTTGCCTTCATCGGAATCGAAACGGGACCATCTGCGAGGATCGGTTGAGGCATTCGCCTCGTGTTCTCTTTCGAACGAAAGTTTAAATACAACCGCACTCTTCATCCTCGGGTGAAAGAAGAGGGGAATGGAAGCGGAGAAAGAGCCGGTTCGTGGTACATACGGTTACGATACACGTTCGAGAGAGACGGAACCGACGCGTTGGGTACATTAATAGAACAGTTCGCACATGTTTCGTGGAATCTGAAGAATTTACTCCAGGCGTCTAACAATGTACCGCTGCGGTACATGCGTCGCGTTACGGGTGAGTGAGCCGTTCGTATACCGGGCATGACCGTGTTTTGATCGCGAACGGTACATTTGGATTCCATTATATTCACTGTATTAATTAATGCTTTCCGAACATTTTTGTCGATCACACGTGTAATCATACAATAAAGTAATGTACACGCACTATCGGATAAAATTATAAGAACTGGAGCGTAATGATTCTTTTGAACGAAGACTATGAATGTTTATGCAAATTCACAATTTTGGACATTAATATGTAAAAATCGGAATCAGACAGAATTTTATTTCTGGTACGAAAGGTTTTAATATCTTGATAATAACACGCAAATACTATTAAACTTCATTCAAATCTTTTTTTACTACCTTTGTTAGGTTAGTGCTATAAATGCATAATTATTAATGTTTAAGGAAATCATATAAAAATCGGAATGAGACAGAATTTTATTTCTGGTACGAAAGGTTTTAATATCTTGATACTAACAAGCAAATACTATTAAACTTTATTCAAATTTTTTTTTACTACCTTTGTTAGGTTCGTGCTATAAATGCATAATTATTAATGTTTAAGGAAATTCATACTCTTCGTTAACTAGTACAGAAAATGCTAAAGAAATGCTGCAACGAATGATTACGCTCAAATGATTATAGCTTTGTCCGGTACTGTATATTCTGTTCAATATACCCCTTAATGCCTGAATTAAAAATTTCGAATACAAAAAATTAATTACTACTCACTTTACAGTCTAGTGGCTAAGTCAGTATCTAAGAGCATTATTCTGAGTTTTAAACAGTTAATGAGATTAAATAATTGTTTGTTAAATGTCGACTCATTCAAGAAGAAATATTATTTTATTATAAAAATTAGAATTTCCACGTTTGAATGGTTAAAAATTACGAAGTACGTTTTTTTTAATCTTTTATTCGTTATTTACTCACTTTACAGTCTAGTGGTGTATTAGTTTAAGAAATGGTAAAGGTACCATACCTGCTTGTAGCTGTTGCACAGATGTACCATGCATATATTATACTGAAATACTGATTATTTAGCCACAAACCTCTGCAAAAACGTGCGTTTCGTACATATATTACGACAAACGTGAAGAGGTAAACAAAACAATATCCCGATTCGAAAGTTACCCGCGTTATTGATTATCGCACCGTGTACTCTCCAACAACGATTATAAACCACGTGTTATTTTTATTTCTAGTCGCTTACCAGGCACCTAGAACACACTGACGTGCAGCTTCTTCACCATTCCCTGTTGCACGTATCATCAACTTGTACGGTAATCAAACATTCCGTCTTATTAATTCATCAACTAAGATCGGAAGAGTTTTTTTGTTTTCTCGAAAACGATATCGAAGGATGTGGTAAATGGATCGATATCGGAAATCACAACGGAATCGATCTGTTTTTCCGTGTCCGCCGTTGCACGTGTACCTGAGCGACTTCGCGGTTCCGTTGCGTGATCCGACGCGCTTCTTGGTCACCGTGCGACTGTCTTTTGCCCCCATTCTCTTTTGGCGGCTCTCGCGCGGGAGCCGGGCCTCTTTATTGCTCTTCGGCCAGGTATACGCGTGCGATACAGTAGCCATTCGTTAAATGGAGTCCCTTTTATTGCGTATTGGCAACGCCCCTTGCTCACACGTACTTCCCACACACGTGCGCGTACCCCACTTTGTCGCCCAGCACGCCCAGGATGGAATATATACGGTGTCACGTTTAACTCACATACATATTTCATCACAAAAAGCGCGGATATGTAATATTTTTTTGATAAAATGTTTCAATGTTTTTAGATATTTTCAGTTATAATCAACTACATTTCGTATCATGTTTAATTCATATTAAATATAAGTAATTATGTAAGCATATAAACTTATAACACAGTCAGAGTTAGGCATGAGAATGTTAAATATTTGTTAGGTGGTTAAATATACAAATCGAAAAGCGGCGGAAAGCTAAAAATTGATATGCAGTTTATAAATTAAAGTAATACCTATTAAAAAAATTAATTTCTCTAGGGTGTGATAACACTGTTCAACAAATTTTAACTTTTTTTCGTTTCTGTAACCTGTAATAAGTGTTTCTGATTTTTCTGAGTTTGATACGAATTTGCAAACCGTTTCTTTCCGGCACGTCCAGTTAAAAAAAATCAATTTTTTGAAAAATTGCAAATTTTCAACTTTGGAGCTGTGTTGTGCTTTTACAGTAATAGTTATTCAGTTTCTTTTGACACGTAATAGTTCTCTGGATTCATTCGAATCAAATGATAAAAAATGTTATTATATTAAAGACATTTAAATATGTTTAAATAATGTTCAAAATGAGAAGGACACCGAAAACGCACCAGTTTTTGCTGATATTCTTCAATTTATTTCAAAAACTAAAGGTTTAGGTGAAAATCTAACCACAGTACGCGATAAAGCAGACCTTTCTTCTCAGGAAACTGTCAATGAAAGTTACAAAATCTGTTTTGTTTTAAATAGGGAAGTGAAATAGTTGAGCAAAACACGCGGCGGCGACAGTGGTACTCAATGAAGGCGGTTGTCTTGCCTGCCGCTCAGCGTAATAGAAACGCTAGGCGCGCACGGCCACCACTGATTATGAGTTAGAAGTAAAATATTGTACCTAACTCAATGTAATGTAGTTAAAACATTAATTGTCTATTAGTTTGAATTATATAGGTGTACAATTATATGTATACAGGTTGAACTTTTCTGTTACTCCATATTAGTGAAATATAGATGAATATCATTTTCCTGGAAAAATAGTCATATTGGTTCAGTTTTGTACCTTACTGAATTTTGCTGCAACCAGTAACCCATGTTTTTCTACACTTTTACACATAAATCAGATAATTAAACAAATTTAGCTGTTAATCATTTTGTACGTCACAATGTTTTCCATATTATTGATTACATTGTTTTCAGTGCAGAAGAATAAATGAACTTACTGTGCAATCATACGTGCATTATAAACAATAGTCCAGTAACGTTGATCACTTTAATTATATCCATTATTTATACAGATGTTAAAAAAATGTTTATTTACCAAAATTATGTGGTATCAGAGAGACCATAACATAGCAGAAGTAATTTTGTTATAGGTCGACCAAAAATGAACAGTTTCTGACATACATATTTCACATTTTGGATATAAAATAGCTCACGAATTATTAACTTTTTACACATAATACCTTAATATTTTATTACGTAGAATGTTTAGAAGAATTCATATACGTAAAAAAAAATATTTTTATCTCACAATGTTTCAGTATCATTAAGGAGAAAACATAATTAACCTTGAAAACTATGAAGATCCTCCACTCACAAAAAAATTGTTACTGCTAAGTAATAGTCCTTTCCATACTAAACAACTTCTGTGAATAAACTTTTCTGGTATCTCTAAAAATAACGGAGATAATTAAGATGACCGTAAAGTGCGTATATCCAGCCTACCCTATATGTATGTAGCTGAATCGCACAACTGTACAGCCGAGTGGTGGGAAAAGCGCTCGAGTAATTGGCGCACGTTTATTGCATAATTCCTGGAATTCTGGCCCTCTACAGTCTACAGTCCCGAAATATGCAATAAACGAACAGCTACTGTATAAGGTAAACGTACCGATTATGAACGTTTTTCGGTGGTGTTATTCGATTACCATCTAATTTGAAACATTTAATGTATTAACTTTGAAAGTTTGCATACAATTTGATAGACAAATGTTTTGTGACCACATAATGAGCCATAAAATGTATGTTTCATATTCAATGTCCCTAATTTAAAACGGTCACTTATCCATTAGAAATGACGTTACGTGTGCATAGAACATTTTTGAAAACATCACATTTTATATCAAATTTGCATTAATATTTTCTAAAGTACTTAAAGCACAAAAATTATATCGGTCGATAATTTTCTAACATAATGTGACTTTAGGCCAAAGTATCTTAACATTATATGTATGAAAAATTAAATAAAAATCAATCAACATTTCCAACCATTTGTAAGGAATGGGTTAAAATGAATAATCAATTTTCTTTTTTATTGTGTTTTATTTTTTACAAAATCTATAAAATTTTTCTTTAGTGGTCTCTTTTTCAGTGCTTTCCATCTTTTTATTCTGACAGACAGTCTAAAATTCTTTGTCTGTTAAAAAACTTTTGAAAGTAAGAAATATTTAACTTAAATTATGTTTACTTACGCACATCAGATTTTTAGGTTAGGTTTCTGACATTTATTAAAAAGTTTGAATTACGTATAGTTATTCGTCTTTTTTATGAGAATGTGCATGTGATCGCTACTTGAATTGTTTTATTAAAAAACTACTTAATTGACACAGGTCCATTGACTTGAAATACGCTTTCGAACTGTTTCATACATCCGGACATTCAAAAAATTGAAGTACACAATATGAAATAGTTATTTTAATTAATAAAAAACGATCAAAATTCTGAACATTCGTCGCAAAATCAAATCTATGATTTATACGCTATCGTATATGCTAATACACATATTCGAAAATAATTTAAATTTGTAAAAAACTTCAAAAAAATTAATCGTGGACGTTGTCAGTTTTTACACAAGTAGAACTGCGTGTTTACGAGTTTAGAGGCACCCAGTGGCGTAACTAGGATATTTGTCTGAAGGAGGCCAGATCTCCTGACTTTCGCCCATAACACTCCCCCTCAGGCACATGTATGTTCTTTATACAATGTGCGTGGGTTGCACATAATAAAGTTACACATTTTACAATAATTATTTACATATTTATTTAACACTAAAACTAAGAATAGAAAGATATATTAAACATAATTCTTAAAAATTAAAAAAAAATGCGAAAAGAAATTGGAGATTGATTAAAAGCAAGAGTATATTATGTACAGATACCTATAGTTAAAATCTATATAAGCTTCAATTTGCTGCAATCCCTTCAGTTGATGTTACAGGATTATTAGTTACAGTTGAATGTTAAAATTAAACACCTTAATTCTAATACAATTTTATTTAATACTTTAACATAATGAGGAGAGTATTTAATTTTTTGTATTTAGTCGCGTTGCGTGTTGCATTTTAACACAAGTATTTATTTTTTTAACACAAGATTTTATTAACTGACGAATGTTTTTTTACATATTTCAATAATTTCTGGACGGGGGGGGGGCAGTCCGCATTCTGGGGGGGGGGCAAGCCCCCTGGCCCCTACCTAGTTACGCCAATGGAGGCACCTACATTTAAAACACATTTTTTTTGCAATTGACTATTATATAACAATACTCGTGTTCCTGAATTTATAAAGAAAAGAATGTATAAATATTAATAGTGTATTTAAAGTCGCTTATATATGAGAAAACTATTTATAATTTCGATATTTGTGATACTGTTTCAGAAAGGGGACATGTTTCAGAAGGCGTTTCATAATCGATGCGTTTACCTTATCCGGCTTCGGGTGTACGGAAGCGCGCACGGTTAGGTGGAAGGTCGTGTTTCGAAAATCTTCGCGGTTTCCTCTGCGTGTTTTTCGGCCCCCTCTCGGCGCTTCCGAATCGCCTGGATCGGAACAAATAATATTGACTCTGTTTAGGCCGCGGCCACGCTTCTGGGGTCGTAAAATAATGCACGATGTTTCTCGGAAACACACGGTTCGAGTTCCTTCCGGATACGTTACGGCGAGTAGAATCTTTGTTTTCCGAGTCGACGGCTGTAATAGAGTTTCGCGCTTCCGGTCGATATTCCTAGCCGACCGTGTGTACTCGTGTTTCGGTTCGAAGATAAACAAGCAAGCGTTCGCGGGAAGATTTAGAATTTATTTTGGATTCTGTTCAACTGGATTCACTTGATTTTTCTTTTTTAATTCGTCCGTGAAGCAAACTGTACCGGTGTGTCGGGTAATCGCAATGACGATTGGATATGATAGGTCTCTAAGGTTGCCGACTGGCTCGAGCATTTGCAACGACTTGCATGGTATTCTTAGCTAGAGGAGCCACTCGTCGGTGAACCCTTGGATCTCTTCCTTTCCGACCTCGTTGCATTTCGCAGCGGCTCGTCGTTTCGCCTCGGGGCAACCTCCAAAAATCCAATTTACCGCTCGTAGTAAGGCAGGTTTGAATCGATCTGAATCATGAAAATATTCTCGTTGCACGCAGTTGCAGCTAACCAGATGTTTGATTGTACAGTACATCTCATAACTATAAAACCATCTTGAAATTTTGGATTCCTGTACGTTCCATTTGAAATTCAATTGAACCAAGTGTATTGCGACGTATTGAAAAGCAGTACTGTAGAAGCCCAATAATTGAGAGTCCGTTAATTGATCACTGGGAACGCTCCTTGATCACACGTGTTTCGCACACTGTGCAGCAGAGTTCGGCAAAATTTTTTTCTAAATAAAAATTTCGAATAATGAATAAAAGATAAAAAAATTTTATTAGTTATTCGTAGCGTTTTATTCGTAGCGTTGAATAAACTTTTCATCTTTTATCTGTGTCTTTTATTTGAAGGCTGCGAATGAATCTTCGAATAACTTTGGCCAGCCAGGCCACCTCGAACAACCGTTAATTGATTAGTTCTTGGAAACTTTGTCCGCCACAGCCCCAAAATAATCCATTATTGAGCTTCTACTGAATTACACTATAAAGGGAAACACTATTCGTTTGTGTCCATGAAAGTTTTGTTGTTGTTTCACAGCCGAAATATATAAGCTTCAGACGGTTTTATAGTTCTGAAACGCAGTGTAGTACTAAACAAAGTCTTAAGCAGCATACGCTTTGGATCATTCATATTATATTTTTATATAAAACAGAACGATACGTAACGTGTAAAGGTGCCTTTAATATTCACAGTTGTTTTAGAATATTTTTAGAACACAATTTATCGGGATGATCATAACGTACTGTTCAAGATTGGTTTCGTATAGAAGTCACTGTAGTCGAAGATCGAGTCATCTGAATTCGTATTGTATAGGTTCTGTTTTCTTCTAGGTCTGCCATCGAGATCATGCTTCGAATTCATACGTCTCCCCTGTTGAGAGTTCTCGTCGTCTGCTTCGCCTCCTCGATCCGTAAAATAGGAACCATCGTGGCAACAGTGGCCGGTTAATTTTTTCTTAAAAACATATCTTGACGTGTTATCGCGTGTGTGTACCGTCTCTTCACATTTCTGACAAAAATAGAAAACATAATGTTTCACAGGCAGCGCCTATCTTTCAGTATAGAATCGGATAGATAGTCTGAAAGTGCTATAACACAGTTATTTAGACACTCAATACCGTCTAAGGTAAATGTCCCAGTGGTTGGAGATTTAAGGCGAAAATTGTGGTTACGAAGACTTTTTATATATTAAAATAATATAGACTGGCAAAAAAGTACATTCAATCCATAGAGCAGAATTTCAAATGTCGACTCATTCAAGAAGAAATATTATTTTATTATAAAGACTGGAATTTCCACATTTGAATGGTTAAAAATTCCGAAGTACGTTTTTTTTATCTTTTATTCGTTATTCGAAACTCTTTATATGTATAGATAATGAATTTGCCAATCTCTGCTTGTGATTTACCATAATATACAATGTAGTCTATTATTGGTGCTATAAAGGACGAGGTGTGGATTTTTCATAAAGAAATAAATCGAAAATTTAAGAACACTATGAAAGCTCTATTTCCAAGAAAATTATTGCTTTCAAAATTCATCTAATACCCATCACTTGGGCTCACAATAAGTAGAAACAGCAAGTAATGGTTAGACACATTATTCAAATATCATAGTATTCAGTAGAACGTATATCCCTAAAAATTTCAAAAACATCTTCCAAAAATTCTGTTTTATTACATTTGACTTATTTTCTTTAATGAAAAATCACTTCGTTGTCAGTAGTACTACCAATAATAAATCATCGTTAAACTTATACAGTATCTATTACACTTTTAGCAAATTTTCCACAGCGCAGATTTCTTCACTTGTTGTAGTTCCAATAAATATTATTATTGCTACGTTTATACGTTAGAAAGCCAGCTAATTACCTGTAACGCCGTCTTATCTTCGTTTTGAAAATTCACTCTTCGGTCGTTGCTGAAATTACTGGATTTCAACAGTCGAGATTCACGACCATGTCCAGTGTAATTCTCATCTATCTTCTCATGCGTTTTCGGATTCACCATGCTCTTTGACGATCTACGGACAGGAATTTTCGCGGATTAATTATATTTCGTATAACGTGCCATTATTGCATTGACAGTTATTCATTTACTTTAGTACGTTTTTAGTTTCATCGGACGGTTCGGTATTAAGAATAACTCTATTGTTTATTTCTCCTGAAGATATCGAGCATCCATTCATGCCGTAACAATCACCGTCCAACTGACACGGATTCGTCTGATATAACGATGTGCAATTAAAGTATCTTGAATTTTTCTGGTATAGAGCTTCTGGTGCAGAGCTCAAATCGACAGTTTTAAGGTACTTTTCCAGACCCTGCTATGATTTATCAATAAATGGTAATTCGAAGCAAATGACGAACAGTTAGATTCATAACATTTCCGAGTTCAGATAGACGGAACTTACAACGTGAATCTTAGGAAATAAATAGTAACAAGAGACCAAGGTCTTTAATGAAAATTACTGATTCTGTGTGATTATTGTGGTCGCTCGTTGTCCCCTCTTGTTCCGAGCCAGAAGCCCCCGCTTTTGATGACAGTCGATCGATCGATGTACCACATTCCTTATACTCTACTCTACAATAAGGATCTTCGATAAGAACTACGTCATCTTTCTCAAATTTTTGATCGATCATGGACATTTGTAGTGGACTGCCGCTGCAACAAACAACAGAAATAATTCCTCGACTGAATAAAATATATTGAGAATATATCGTAGCTATACCTGATTAAAAGAGCATAATTTTCCACCGATCCATTGATCCTGTTCACGCCACGTAAATTCGTTTTTACGTATTTCTGAACGTCATCCAATTTGTCGGTGTAAAAATAAGCCGGTTTTGCGATTTCCACGCGAGGATCAGAAATATTATTTGAAATTCGGTGACGAGACTGTCGATAGTCTTTGGTTTGTTTCTTGATTACTTTCTTTTTTTCCCTACTTCTGTAAAATATTCAAAGTCAGTTTAGCCAGTAAGTGTATGAAATAAAATTCTTCAAAAAGTATATATATTTTATGAATAACTGGACACAATGGAATTAGTTATTATGCCATGTTAATTCCAAACGCATCTAAACAGTATGTATACATATAGTAGTTATACACACACATATATATATATATATATATATATATACACATATGTATATTATATGTATGTACTAATTCTAAAATGACACACTTGTCTCATGTGTTTACAGGTCATTTCTATTTCTTGAAATTTTCGATACTTTTATCCAAAACAATAATTTTCACTTTACAAAATTTTCATCAGAGAGCACTTTTGCAAATTCAAACGCCAAATTTAACAATTCGTATGGTCACGACCAGAGTAGCTCGAAAATCATATGATTAATACTTTCAAGTATTTAATAGTGTATCTTCTTTTAATTACCGACGTTTCTCACTCCTTTGTTTTCTATTGACTTATAAAAGAAAAAATAACTTTCCAGTGTCAAAATTGTTTAGAAAATATTTGAAAGGAGACTGAATAAGAAAGGACTTTTACTGACTTTACTGACTCGCGCAATCCATCGTCGTCCATGTCCGTTTTCGGTTTTTTACTATAATTTTCTTGACCCTCTCTCGAACGACGATTCAGTCCCAATAAAGATTGCTCATATTTTGCCTGATGATACTTGGTTTTGATAGCTTCGTACATGTACTCACTCTCGCCAGCGCTCAGCGCGGATTTCAAAGCATTCGCCGTGATGTCGACCAGTGCGTAACATATTCGCCGTGCATCTGCGAAATAATTATTTAATTACTATAATTTAAAAATTCGATTCTTATCCACTGTTACAAAAAATTCCAAATAAACTGTGTAAATGCAATTACAGTAACCGAAACCTTTAGTAAAAATTTATAAAATAGAGGAAATTAAAAACATGTAATTTCTATTTTATAAAAAAAATGACTAGGAATGGATTTATCTTCTTCCTTTGACTCACTAATAATAGGTACTGTCACTATCGAAATAAATTGCCTAATGGAGGCTGCTCAAAATCAAAGTACCAATTTTCGCCAAAAAAAACCAGGCACTAGATTTTTATGTATAGAATGAGTCCACCAAACCTGAAGTTCGATGCAGTGGTTCTCGAGATATTTTGGTCACCCATTTTGAAAATGTGGTTTTGAGAAAAACACGTTTAAAGTTTCAAGCCAGGTTTACAACCAAATCAATGCAAATTTGTTACATATAGATATTCTTAGTATTACGGCTTCATATAGCTTTGTGTATTTACACAACCATAAATTGCATTGGGACGCAGTATTCATGACTCACGCACCCCTAGAAAGGGATTCTACCACTTTATATCTGCTCAGAAACTTCCAGGGGCGTATACTTTAAACGGGCGTAACTCCTCTTTCACACAATATTTCTAAAATGATGTACTGTAAGAAAATATTAAAACCCAAAAATCAATTTTTTTCCAAATTTATAGGTAGATTAAAAACTAAAAAAAAATGACGTGGATTTACAAAATATTGTAAACATATTTTTCTACGTCTTGGGATACAAATTTCTCGACGAGGGATGTGATTCTCACGAATCTCTTGAATTTTTTTACTTTTCCATTCGTTACTTGTTACTCACGTGGACGAGACTCTGGGATGTAATAAAGGATCACGCCAGACACCATTAGTGCTATCAGCGAGAGGCGTTTCACGTAGCTTATCCAACCAAACACGGAGAACGTCTCCTCCGAATAACCTGACGGGCGAAAATCGAAGTTACATATTTCGATCACCGGTACCGCGACATTTTCCACTTACTATCCGTGTTCCATGATTTTGTGGCCGCGCACTGTATCACGAGCGCACCGAGCACAACCAAGAATTTCATGACTACCAGAGAGCACGCGGGCTTCCGTCCATCGGCTGGTCGTCGACGTTACGTGGGAATCGTCATGATGCCGCGGTGTAAACAGAAGGTAGCAATAAGGCTCATCGATGCGACGTTCACCCCGAGGCAGACGGTGAAGAAGCAAATTTCACTTCGCTTCGTGTCGTTCGAATCAGCGATGGGACCAAGTTTAACGTGTACTCGTGAACGTCGATGTATTCCATATACGTACTATGTGTCCCGTGAGTTTATTGGGTTCGATTAGTACTCACGAAAACCATTGTTTCACGTACTAGTTAATTACTTGGTATTGTTCAACTGGTTTTGAAACCTATAACGAGTGGATACAAAATTCGGAGCTTCACTTGTAAGTACTTCGAATCCGATTGGTATATAATTGTTTCCTAGCAATTATTTGAAACTTACTGATTTTGTACGATTACAATTTAATAGTACATAAAATGTATGCACGTACATTTTATGTGTATATACGTACATCTCTGCTCATAAGTATTAGGACACTGTCGAATATGCGGTAAACGTTACAACGCGTTACGAAATTTCTGAAAGTTGGAATAAATAGTTAGAGAAATAATCGTTAGAGGCAGTGAAGCTCGGTCGACAGCGTTTATATTACTATGAAGTATTAAACATGGCTTAAAATATGTATGGAACATCAGATTTTTTTCATACATATTACAATAATTTGTAGAAAAAACAAGAAAGTACTTATGAAGACTTGAAATATACAGATGAGTATTATTTTTGTTTTCCAAGATACTCTCTCTCTCTCGGTTGAATACTGCTCGTGGTACACTTGGTTCCATCACTACCTTGTGTGTAACGGTAAAACTATTGTACATTCTTCGTGATGAATACCTGTAAACATTTTAATAGTAACCATCCATAGCTACTAATATTTTCCCAATTAATGACTTCACACTACACCTTCTTTTTAATGCACACAACTGATCCATGACGATCCTATAAGACGTAAAACTGTCCACCGTTGACGTATTAAGACATTTTTTTAACACTAGAACTACCGACAATAAACATATATCTATGTCGATCGGTTCGTAAACATGTCAAACTTTTGAAAATTTGTAAACTTATAAATTAACTAATTTCTTCATTTTCATATCGTAATGAAAGTTTCAAAAGCTCTGAGATACTGTATTGTGACAAGATTTTAATCATCGTTATAAGAGTGTACTGACAAGTCATTATGACCTGTAATTCTATTGTTAACTATTATCTACCGTTTCTTAGACTTAAGTTAATTTAATCAGCTTTACTCGCTTTGGTAACAGCTCTGTCACTTTATATAGGATCTCAAAGAAAGCATTTCATAGCAATTCAATACACATTGTTTCTATGTCAGTAAAAAGAAGAGATCTAGTTTTATCCCAGGAGAATTGAGAGTACAACATATATAAGATGCATATCTTAGGTTTTTATTATGCTCTGAGTACTTTACAATATTATACAAGGGAAATCTAGCGTAAATACGCGCCGACCGTTTTCTACAACTGGGTGAGCGCGAAAATGACCCGCGCGCGTTAATACGAACATGGAAAAGTATTTGGTACGAGTTAGCGACGGGAAGAAAAAAAAAAAGAAGTGCAGGGTGCACAAGCAAGGACTCGCACTACATGCTAGACAGTGCGGCTTTAATACAACTCTTTGTCGCTTCCTTATAGAAGCGGATTCGTGGATAGAAACAAGTTTCTCGGGAAACAACGCGATTCTCTATTCTCTATCGTGTCTATCTATACATTATCAGGCAGACAATTGAACTTAGCACATGTAAAGGGAATGTGCAAACTTCTCGAGATACATAATTCAATTCGCGATTGTCGATTGTTTATGACATCAAAAAAAAAAAAAAAAACACTACTCGACCGACGTAGAGATGGGCATGTTTCCCAAGAAATTTATAAATTCGTTAATAATACGAAAAACTAAAGAACCTACGTTGTCTTTTAATACTAGTCGTCTGGCTAGACGACTAACCTAAATATATAACTACACGTGAATTACTAACTATCGCGGTGGATGTCATCTTTTTTGCCTACCGTGAAGCAAATTTCAAACACAATCATGAATACTCTCCGTCTAGAATAACGGTAATAGTTATAATAATGAAGTGGAATCGAATACAATATACTATGTATAACGTAAGAAAACAATGGAACACGTACGTGTATACGCGTGACAACAGTTTCTTTTTTCCCTCTCTCGATCAAGTTGATTCGGGTCTCGATGCACCCTTGTGATATTAGAAGACAACCCTGCCGTAAATTTATTGTCAACAGCAATGTAATACTCGAACGCGCAGAGTTCTTCAATAAAGCACCAATAATTCATTTTCTCTCAATAAATAACACGGAAAGCAGAAATTAACTTATTACAGGCTCCCTATCACGCTGAGTACGAAAGAAACAGAAAACATTCGGCCTCGTCTACGCACGTACACAACTCGAGGCCCCACTTGAACGGATATACATATTTGGTCACGCGTACGTGCGTACAACTACGCGAATGAACAACTTTATACACAGAGTGAGAACGATGTGGACGAAAAATGATGATCTAGATGAAATGACCGTGCATCGCCGAGCTGACCGAGAGACCTAGTCTTTTTAGGAAGCTCGTATTTCGCTTTTAAATAACACGGTGAATGACTTTGATTTTTCTAATCGATAGAGCCCACATAAGAATTATCCTAATTTCAATTAAAGCGTTTTGGAAAAAACGAGAATCGTTCGAGATGTTCGGCGATTCGCGAAGAAGTAACCGTATCGTTTTGGGGCGGTTAGGGGGGGAGGGGGGTGGAACCTACTCGTTCTTACGCGTAAGACTTCTTGATCTTGTTAATGGCGTTCGTGAGATGGACCATCTCGGTGTTCAGCTGAGACACAAGATTTTCCAGCCTGTCGACGCTGTCGAGCACCTCCACGCGCTGGGTGTGTGGATCGTACCTCACCTCGAAAGGTCGGCTCATGGTTGCCACCTGAATCAAGAAATTTAATAATTAGCATCGAATGACTACGGTTGTTTAATAGTTGTAGTGATTATTTTTAACGATGTAAGTTATTAAATCGATTAAATTGAATTTCAACGAGGTCCCATTTAACAAATCGACTGCCACATTAGCGTCTATTAAAATTAATTTATTTATTTAACACTCGTCAAATGTTACACATTTCAATATGTTTTATTCGACTTAATATCTCAGTTTCAGAATTTATTTTCTGGTTCTTCGCTGAAAGTTATGGATGGTATCAATACACGTGATTAAACATGGCGGCTAATGCATTAATGATCCGCCGAAGGGCGTAGTGGCGTTAGTGCGCAACGCACCGAGCGTTGAAGTCTCCGGTATCGAACTGTACTCACCCAGCGACGGAATTTCTCTTTAGCGTCCTCGAAACTTTCCGCGACGTAGTATATCGGTTGGTATTCCTGATCCTGATACTTTTGAAGCGCTGTAGTCGTTGGCTCGAACGGTCGGTGTTCACATTTGTCGCTCAACGCGTGAAGCAGCTCTCCGTAAGCGGACAGGAGACCGGCGCCGTAAGCTTTTACCTCTGGACCTTCCTTGCAAAGACCGAATTCAACTGTGAACCAGTAGATGGTGGACAATTTTTCGATTTCCTCGTCTGATGCACCGAGGGACGCGAGACCGATTTCTTGGGAGAACTGAGCAAAGCTTGGGTCAGCCAACAGCGGCATGTGTCCTAACAGTTCGTGGATACAGTCTCTGCAAAAGAGAAAATAAGAAGATTAAATCAATTCTGCGAAGAAGTAAGGCATAGGGATAAAAGTTCACACCAAAATTAGGTGAAGGGAGAAGATATTAAAGTTGTTTCATTAGAAATATTGTATATCCACGCTATCACATCCTTACAATCTCTTCCAAAATAAGAAGATTAAAAAGGTACAAAGTTAAGTTTATACGACATCGAATAAAATTCGATCATAGTAAACATCGAAATAAAGTGTTTCAATAAATTTAGATTATACCGATTATTTTTATGCATAAAATACTTTTCATTAAACTCAACATCTGTTGCACGTTCTTTCCGCGGAGAAATGAGTTTCCAACTGCGAAACTAAATTATCAACGCCATCGTGTCGTTAAAAGCCAATTAGAGCCCCATTACGAGCTTAGAGAGGCGCGGAAATTCTATTATCATCGTACTCTGTGTAACGGGAAACTGTCCCCGTCATAACGTGGTATCGATTGCCCTGTTCACTTTCACTTGAATCGTCTCCGGTCCAAAAAACATTAAGAAAATGTTACTTCGTTCTAAACTCTTACATAGTTTCGCCATAAAATTTCAGAAATGAGTCAATTTTAATTTTCTAACCTAAAATTTGCTATCCTACTAAAAACCAACATTGAGTCCAATTTTAAACTGGCGAATCGGCTATTCGGGGAATGATCGAATCTCTAAACGATACAACGAACCACTGCGTTATCTTGACTATTTAAAATACTTACGGTTCTGGCGTGTGGAACGGCGTTTTGATGTGACGGATGTACTGGGTGCTCTGGAATACTCTGAAGGCAAGACTAGACAAAAAGTCTCGGGCTGTGAGCAATCCGGCTGCGGGTCTCAGAGTGAATCCAGTGTTCTTCTTCAAGAAGTCGCTGACCTCTTGCAGCTGAGGTATGCGATGTGCCTCGAAGATCTTCTCCTCTTGCAGTTTCTTAAATACTCTCTGATACTCCATGCAGGCGTGTTTCGGGACTAAGTCAACGACAGTGTTGAACACTCTGGACCAGGTTTCGTTCTCCGTTTCGGTGTAAGGAATGCTGGGTATGGGGTCTCCGTACTTATAAGCGAAAGCGATTTCTGCGATGACCTTTCTGCGGGCACGGTACTCCTTGTCAGCGAAACCGGGATGATTCATGTCAAGATCGGGCTCGTATTTGGTCATCAAATGGTTGCAATTGTCCAGATCAGAGGCGTGACGTGGGAACCAGGGATCCTTAATGCTGACGAAATTGTCCGCGAGCAGAGTGATGCCGTCCAACGCTGAACTCTGACGGAGATTTCGGATTAGCTGTAGCAAGCATTGTTTACTCATGTCAACCTTCACGAGGACATCCAACTGCAGGCCCTCCCTCTTCGACGGCCGGGACTCGACGTGAGTCACCGTGCCCTTGAAGTTCTCGATCGTTTTCAGAATCCTCGCCAGCGAACCGATTCCTTCGCGCAGACGCAAAACCAGCGCCGCCCTTTGTACCGTATGCTCGGTTTCAGGACTCTCGGCTATCGTCTTCATCAGCACCACTTCCTCCTCGGTTAATCCGGCGTCTGAAAGTAACCACGAAATATTTCGTTCGCGTGAAATCCTCAAAACGTCTCAATCTTATTCGTTAGTGTCCCCTAATTCCTGACAGAGTAAGATTAACCGATCTATCTTGCTCGTGGGTAGATTAAGCTCTTAAATCACCGGTGGATCTAACCTTTTGAGCACCCTCGCCACGTTCTTACACGACATTTCGACGACGCTAAGTGATTCAAGTGGACGGTAATAATCGAGCAATTCAGAGTCCATTTCCGTGAAATGTCTATTCCCGGCCGCTTTCATACGGTCGGCGTGAGGGTGGAAACGGGGGAAAGAATGAAATACCTCTTATTGTCGCCCACAGACGTGCCCGGTTGAGATCGAGAAAGCAAAAAAGGAATAACCGAGTTATACATTTAGCGTGGACGCGACGGAAGACGACTCTATAGGGTTAGGAAACGGGTCTCGAAAACTAATACGATTTTAAATGCACAAAGTGAACTCGAAAAAGCATCGAGAGCCAGAGAAGGGAAGAAGTCTTCCATGTACTTGAACCGAGTGTCAGAAAAGCACTCAGTTCAATTCTCTTTGGCCAGGAATATACCCTCTAATATAAGGTCTATTTTACCCTCCATTTAACCCACCCACTACGCGCATCATACCGATGGCCAATATTCTCTAGGATTTTCGTTCGTAAAAGAGACGATATACTATGGACTTTTGTCACTAATGTTAGAAGATTCTCTTACCATCGTCGTAATCGTCGTCCGGTTTGTCGTCGCTGTCCGATGACACTTCAGCTCTCGCTTCTGGAAGTCAATTACAATATTCATGCCAAAAGTAACATCTAAATACTTCATGCATTCGGAAGCTCTGATCGAAAAGACGCTATAGATGTTAAATATTATACATACGTGGACTGCGAACTTTATGCATTTATCGTAAATGTGAGTGTGCAAAATCAACGGAGTAAAAATTTTTACATTGGACACAAAAGAATATTTAATAGAAGAGATCTAAATGTGGTCTAGCATTTTTATTTCAGGACTTATTGCCAAACCTGTTGAAGAGCTTCAAGATGTAATTCTTCAAAGTATCTAAAACATGTTTGCTTTATAGACATAAAATAAGTTTCTTTTGTTTTTAAGTCGTATGTTCGGGTGCAACACCTAACAACGACCCTGTATTTTTGACCACCTCTAATGGAAAGAAATCTTCGACATAATTTGAATTTTCGTAAAGATTCGCAGTCCAATTACAAATTGAAGTATGTTAATATTCTTTTATAGGTCGACTTCCTTTTGTACATCAACGTCTTTGTTGACCGTGAAGCTCCGGGAAATTGACGATTAATACGAACCTCCATTTTTGGCTGCACACGCTAACGTCTCCACCTGCTCGTCATCGCTCGATGAAACGATTTCCGTCTGATCATCTAAATGTTCCGAATCTAATAGCAAACAAAATGCTCTTGCAACATCGATAACAGACGGAATAACTTGAAGCTAATTATACCAAACGTTTTTATACAGACATTACATCACAAGTAAGCTGTTAAATGCATCTACTAGATAGAACAAGAACATGAAGTACAACATCGAAACGGAAATGAAAAACACAACATCTCGACTAATTATACGAGCATTAATAAGTGGATACTTACCATTCGTTCGTTGTCGAGCCTCTTCCAACACGCTTTGCTTCGTCTGTTTCACAACCAAAGTTTCAAAACGGGCGTCATCCACGAGGGATCGTCGTCTTGCAGGATATCCATTCTGTAAAAGAAAAAATAACAGAAAATTCGTTACTTTTTATAGATAACAGTTATATAAATGATAATTATATAACAAAAGTATTTTCAGTTGCACAAAAATCTCAAATGACGAACATTCCGTCCTACCGTCCAGTTAATTTTCGAACGTTCGTGAGTTTCCGTTGAAGGGCGAAGAGGAGTTAAAGATGACCTAACTACCCGAGACCGTCCGCCAAAGAACGTCCGGTGGCTTTGATAACGAACCGAACGCACGGAAATGACTTTTCATCCCGGTCGTCCGGTTGCAGTTGAAGGATAGGAAATTAGGGGATCCTGTCTGAAGGAGGTCATAGCAGATCGCGCTCGCAAAGAACATGTCCATGATCCTTTAATCGCACGAAGGAAAAGAAGAAGTTTAATTAAAATGAAAGTTAAGCGTGCAATTCTGAAATTCAATTGGCCGTGGTGTATGACAGAATTTTTTGGTTATTCTTACTGTAACTTACAAGAAGATGTAATGCGAATAAAAAGGACTGGTTCATGAAGAACTCATTAGGAATCTAGCGATGCGCAGCGAGCTGACGCTACAAGATACATCGGTTGTCATTCAAATTCTTAACGGCCGCTTTTCATGAATGACGCACAAGGTGGGACCCAGTTACATTTTCCAGCCGAGCAAAGTGGTTGGCACGGTTTAGAGAACACGCGTGTAGTAATCCCTTAACAACGCACGCGCACAAGTGGGCCAAGTACTTCGCTGATGGAATGGATACGGATGACCGATGACTCTGCCCTGATGATTGCATCACGAGACGATTATCCCGTAGAAAGATTGGAACAGTGGTCGATTTGAAAATTATTCTATTCGACATCGTGAAAAAATGCTCGCCTTCGACCGGACACCACGATTCATCAGGGACAGACGAAGAGTGTCGGAACGTATCACCTGGCTAATTACTCTGACTCATATTGCCATACAAATTTGGTTAACTTTGTGCCGTGTAACTTGTGTTTATCCTCTTTGTTTCATTCATCGAGGAATGACGAAGCTTTTCTCTCGTTGCGTGCTACAATTGCTACGATAGAAAATGAGTAATAATCACTTTTTGGTATTTGTAACAGAAGTATTTTTGAAAGATACAGCATAAAAGAACGATCCCGAATAAGTTGTACAATAAAGAATGAAAGTTACATAAAAAAGAGATGGAAATCGAAAATATTGATGTTTCTAATGTTCATCGCCTGGGTGGTCTGCATTCTGAAGTGCGGGACAGTTGCATCGACAGGAAATTATTTATACGTCACCTCGCAATGCAACCAAAGAAAAATTATTTAGCATTTCAAACGAATTGTACGCGAGTTCCGCGCTTTATTGAGTTATTAACTACGACTTTTTGCCGGTAAAACGGCGTAATGATCCATGACAAATGCACCCAAGGTCGATCATTATTTCGTCATTAAAATCATAACCGCGTAACGTTATTGCTTATTTTACATTTGCTTCGCGACGAACGAGCTACGAATACTAAGAAATTCTATCATCCACTGGTTCAACAACGAAACCAGTTACCCGACGCTCGCTGGACAAGTTTACTACTCTTTGGTCATTCATGAATTTATTTCTAATGTTATTAATATTTAAACACCAGATTTTATGCGTTTAAAGATTAAAAACTTCTAGCAAATTTATCCAGAAATCTACTACTAAAACCCTTAACAAGGTAAATCAATGTTTCTCTGCCTCGAGTTAGGAAAAATGCATCCATAAAGTTCTATGTTTGCATAAACATTCACGGCCTATTAATATTGAATATAAATACTGACATTGAAATGTGACTCGGTTCTCCAATATCGAACGAGGTGAAAACTCATTAAACATCCATAAGATCGTACAGAACCTCAACGATCGTTATGGAGAGAAAAAAAATGGGATACTGAATAGAAAAAAAAGTTGCAGAACAACTGGTAGGTATAGATAATTACACGACCAATATACATAATGCATCCGGTGCATTAATATGATTTTTCTCATCGTTAGGAATCGCTGCGATGCGGTTCGGGCAAAACACGATATTTAAATAGAATAATTAGCATAGTTGATCGACGGGGCACAGCCGCGATTCACATATTGTGTGTATATACACGTAACACGGTTTGCATTACGATTGACCGTCTTGTCGGTCCGATCTACACTAAAGGCTATTAAGAGGCTGTTGTCGATCGTGTGGCGAGCCTCCAAAGGCGAATAACGGGGTTCGAAACAGAACGTTCAGGGACTCTCCGCGCCTCTCGCGGCCATTGGAATTACAGTCACTTCGTTCTCATATTTATAACATATTCATAATGATCATGCGGGAGCCGAGGTCGAATTGATTTTGCAACGCGATATGATTAACACCGACTACCGTCCGTTCCGCGGATAAACCGACGACAACGCCGTCGTCACCGCCATAACGAGGAGGGTGTTTAGAGTTAATTACGAGATTTTGTAACGAATCCGTGTGTATCGATCTTAAGTTATTAACTTATGCACATTCTTCGATTGACCGATTTATCCCCTACGTAGTCCCCACGGTCACGTAATGTCTTCTATATTTCTTTATAAATTCGACCGTTTTTCTGTCGTTCGTAATTTTCCGTCTACACTAAAAACCAAATAAGACCATAACTGCGAAATGAATTTCGGTCTCGTTTGCGCATATTCCTATCAGTTACCTTAGTTACCAACGTCTTAAACAATTGAGCATCATTATGCCACGTGTAGCTTCATACATCGAGTGACTGTGAAGTACAAACGTGCCAATTCATAAGTATTCATACCTTGAGAAATACTTCATTATGTCACCCGGTGTATGACAATTTTTATCGCCCATGTTACAGAGAGACTTCTGGTGCTCGTTCCAGCTGTGCGAAACAGTTATGGTCTTATTTCGTTTTTAGTGTAGAATGATAAACAGATTTGCTTCTGTTATACTTAACATCGGATTTTTGCAAATCCATCCGGGACGGGTGGTTCGAGGCAAAAACGAGAACGAAAGACCCTGGCGCGAACGGGTGTCGGGAACGATACAGCTCAATGCTGGATCGTTCTTCAACCCTCATTACTCTGGCGCTACCACGCACCGATAAGATCCTAAACGAGCACGCGAATAGAGTGGGTCGGAGCTATCGTCGGCGTCGTTTGCCATTGTGATTAATGGAGGGAGTACAAGAGTGAATTTATGTTTCATCGTGGACAAACCACAGACGAGATATGAGGATAGACCTAACATCTTATGGGACTTGGTGTCCCACGAAAATTACGCTGGTTAGAGCGCAACTCTCCATAAAAGTTTCCGATTTTAGGAACTACGTTCCACGCATATATCAATACATACATACATTATTGCTTCGGTTTCGCTAGCAAGGAATTTAATACTGATATAGTACGGACACCCCCGAAACATGGGACAGAAAATTACATTGCATGTTAGGTCTAATCCTATATTTCGTCTGTGACAAAACGAACGGAATTTACTTGCTATTTTATTGATTCACACGGATCTTTCAATACCGTCGTCAACGTACAGTGGTCCAGAATCAAAATTGAACAGCTGAAAAAATTTGGTAGCTCATAAAATTTATTCCACTAAAAGCAGATAAACGAATAAATTTTTATCGATTATAGAAATTCGCTTCGATGTTCTTCGTGTTTCTCAACATCTACACGAAAGTCGGAAGGTTTAGGGAATTTTTGTTCTATTCTTGGGCTGAGATCGATAAGGAACAATATACTGATAGGGAACAATAATGGATCAAATATTCAATGGTTAATTGAACTGTAAAATTCGATGTGAGTTTCTGGAAGATTGGCCATTTGAACTGGTAAATTTTGATTTTAGACCACCCTGGCCAAGGAACGTAACCAAGCGCGTTAAACGGGCCACGTGAAGAAACGTTGCCCCATTTCGGGAACCCAAAGCCGCACGCATTCCTTCGTTTATTTTTTCATCGCGCGTGACCACAGGAAGTTTTCGTGAAGGTGCATGATACAAGACTTTTCAAAATTTCATCAGCTACCTGGACCGAACTTTGCCCAATTACCAGGCGAGCGTATCCGTATGTGTCAATATACACATCGGGGGCCCCGTCAGCTCCCCCATAGATTGCCGCGTCGACACGCGGAGAAAGTAACGGATTAACGACCAGCAAACGTCGACCAGGCACATCTTCGGCGTTCTACCCAGCGCCGGTGAAATGCCTGACTGAGAAATTTCTCGTCGATCGTGTTAAACGGAAAACGCCATTTCCATGAAGCGCCTTTCTATTCGTGAACGAGGAACCGTGGTGACGGCAGGCGGATTCGGAATACTTATCTGATCCTGTGGAAAAACTGGTAGCGCGCCCGCGATACGTAACGATTAATATACCGTGAGCTGGCGATCGACGTGTGTCGGCGGCCACGCATGAATGATAAAGTTCTCCTCATAGACCTTGCTCGTGCGGCCAATTAAAAACGACTCACCGTGAGATGTAAAAAAAAAAAAAAAAAGAAAAAGTATGAAAAACAGTATCGCTATCCAGCAAGAAAACACAGGGACACGTCCTTGCGATTCTAATGCCTCGAATGACCCGTGAGCGCGCCTCGGAAGGCGGAGCCCGGTTCTGAATGAGAGGAAAAAATATCACACGGCCTCGAGGATACACGCTGTCGATTAAGAAGTCGGTGTTGCGCGATCCGGTAAATTCAAACACAGGAAGAGACCGCGGTATTGACCTTTCTCGCGGCTGCGATCTTCTGACGGAATCCGTCTGGTTCGATAAGAATTGTTAGAGACAGACGGAGCCTGTAATTACGGGCGATTCGTTAGAATTTATCGGCCAGCCTGTCTCGCGAGTTTCGTCGAATTAGAACGTTTTCAGGACACGGTAGCTGAAGTTGTTCGGAGAATCGCGTAAGTTCCGTGCGACTTATATGACAATGTTCGTCCGTCGAGCTTATACAATTGGACTGAAAATGATTGTACGTTGGTATATTGTTTGTGTACACTAAGGTGAGTTACTATTTTCCACGACTGAGGATAATATATCGAGTACACCAGATAGTAGTAGCAGTTTGTGAAACTCTGTAGTTGATTCCAAATAATTCAAATACCTGTCTGAATCCTATTCTTATAATTGTTGTATCTTATTTACTTCATTATTATACCATTGTATTTGTGTGCCGTAATGTTTTGAATCAAATATTGTAAAAATGCGTCCTCACCCGTATGAATTAAATTAAATTATTGTGACAATACTCGTTATTTGTCCCCATTAACCACTGCCATTTCTAGTGAACAGAACATTCGAAAAATATTCTGAATCTATAATATATAAGCACCATATCGGAATTATAAGGAATTATTAATCGATACACCGTAATTTCGAAACTATATTCACACATTGAACGAATGTATTTCATATTTAAATATAAAGAATATGTGAAACTATGTAAATTAACAATTAAAGTATTATCATCGTGTATCCTCATAAATGAAAAAATGTGTAATTTGCTGCACGAGCTTGTCAGCTTATTTATTTTCACCCGTTCGACTGTATTTAATCTCCTCTTTCTCGACACAGAATTTCCCACGTTCCCCATAGAGTGTCGCGCAATTCGGATTTTTTACGTTCAAAACTTCCGCCAAGTCGAGAAAAAAGAAAAGCGAATGATGTTGTTATTGGAGTCTAAAGCACTTCCAGCAGAGACCAGAGGCTTCTCATTCGTTTTTCGACGATACTCACGTGGACAGACTACAATAACGAACTCCATTTTTTGTTCACGGCAAGGTCATTAATATTACGCAATCACGATAATAACTGATCGCGTGTACTTTCTCTATACTCGGTCTCTTCTTCATTTCCAGCCTGAGAATTTCACTCGCGCCGCCGAAGCGGCCTGCTCGTGGCGGCGAACCGAGCCGCGTCGTTTGTGTGTCCGTGCGTGCATGCACACGCATACACCTGCGGACGGATGTAATATTTTTTCGCCTGTTACGAAATACACCGGAGGTTTATCACGAAAGTCACGTAGTCAAACGGGATGGAGAATTCTTCCGTGTCAGAAAGTTCCGAGGATGATTTCGGATGAATCTCGCGGAAACTTACTTCTGCCCGGCAGATTTGACAACAAACAATGTTACCTTCGACCACGTGTCCGACTGAATATTAACCGGAGTAAATTAACAGAAATTATGAATTACATCGAATTATTTAATTGTATTCTCGACCGTAATATAGTTCTATCCTGTTGGCCAAACAGATATTTAAATACAAATTTTAAATGACACTAGAATATTGTCGACAACGATGTCCAAGGATCAAGATCGAAAGTGGTCGATGTTGCGCTACGTTATTAATAATAAACGGGGGAAAGCGACGTAATTGGGCCCACGGGTAAGAGAGTACTACCAATTACAACGTAATGCGCGTGAATTCGTGACGATTCAAATGCGCGGCGATCTTCCCGCGTTTTCTCGTGGTTTCCGTTCCAGCCGCCCCCTTCCCCCTTGTTTAACACCTGACCTGGCACCTCTGCCTTGGAAAATTATCCATTCAAGCATATATATATATACAACAGGTAGTCGAATACATTCAACCCACAATTATCGTAACTCTCTTCTAGCTCTTCGATTAACACGAAAACAATTCTGAACATTCCCATATGTACTCTCGAGTACTCACCTCGATACTGTAGGACTTCTTGATAGCGAACATTTCGCGGTTCTTTTGCGCCGCTGCGACAGCCATCGTATCCGCCGTGTCGTTCTTCGTTTGCGAAAACTCTTCAAGCTTTTCCTGTTCTGTTGCTCGGTATCCTCTCTTCAGGGGGTGGAGAGGGGGGCGTTGCAGGGAAATACGTGCGCAACAAGGACTGCCTGTGCTTTTCACTGCCGTGTAAATCGACGACGGATCACCGGGGAAAACTATATCGAAATTCGGGCTGTACTACCGATCACGAAAACAATTCTTCTTCTTCAGCTTCGAATATGCTTTTCAGGTTTTTATCGGTTGGCCCGCTGACGATTCCTCTTTTAGTCCAACTGTTCGTTCTGTTTTTCCCCGTTCGGTAATCTCGTTCCGTTGGTTCGATAGGGCACAACGGTGACGACAACAACAACAACAACGGCGGCAGCTGGCGGCAAGGACGCTGAAGATGACAACGGGTCGGTCCCTCTCTCGTGTAAGTCCACTTTGGACGAAGCGTGCGAGCGAATGCGCCTACGGGGCGGATTGCCGCCGCATATAAACGTTGCCTCCCTTCACCGCCGGCTAACGTCGGGGTCAGGGGTGCCCCCACCCCACCCCTGTTTCGGGTGGTCCAGCGGCTGCAGCCACCGCCAATACCGCCGCCACCACCACCGCGTTCTCGTCGCACCGGCAACGACGCGCGTCCAACGATCGCGGACTTCTGCTTTTCGAACATCACGAAACGATACGATGTTTCGCTGGTGTTAGGATTTTCTGGAGAACAATGGGAAATGAAGTATACTAGATAAGGCCCTCTTCGACGGTGGTTTGGACTTTTGAAGATTCACGTGGGTCATTTGAAAAGTTCTCGAAGTGGAGAAGAAGAATTTATATTGTGTTTGAAATATTTCTATCTTTTAATGTAGTCTTCTTTAACAATAATTCACCTTGGTCAATGGTGTTTCAATTTTATACATTTACAATCGATATTCTTTTTAGACACTTGCATTCCAATTCCCTTCTGATCGATTGTCAGGAGTTAGGAGATATGGTATAGGATGTAAACGCACCTTTGCTCAAGCAGATCTATACAAAGTACGAAGTGTATAGTATACTGGTTTATTATGTTGGTTATTTGTATAATAAGTAATAAATCTTCGATGATTTAAACATTTCTGAACTACCGATGTCATCTTTACTTCATTACGAGAACTTTTGAAATGACATAATTTTCATGTGATTTTGTCTATCAGCTGTATTTAAAAGCATTTAATGCACGAGATTGGACAATTTTCTCTTTTAGTTTATAATTTTGCGTTCTGTCGGTCTTTATGAACGACACGATTACTGAAATAATTGAAGTGATAATGGCAACGTTTTGGCTACTAATTATTCACGAAATTTCAGAATGAAATTATGATCGTGTTTTTTTAGTGGTTAAAATTAAATTCGTGAGGCGATAATTTTTAGAGGCGAAGGGCGTTGGTACATAAAAAATATTATTGCTGTTACATTACGGAGAGGTAAGATAATGTTACAAATAATTTTACCAGAAGATATAAAAATATACATTTATTCTGTAATAAAATATTTTTAATTCAAATGATTTATACGTAAGTAGAAATTAAATGTAACGTATTTATCTTCTTCGGTAACTTCATACGTCATTCGTGAAGAGAATCTATTGAAATCTACAGAGAAACGTGTTTATTCTACAATGTATAGTGTATAGGAAACTAAAAAAGGACACGTTAAATTATAAGAGACTTGGATAGTAACCAAAAATCTTGCTTACTATATAGTAACGTGACTTCCTTTAGAAACCAGCAAGCTTCGGAGGATCGAAAATTTAAGCAGTACGTCGTATTAAACGAGTTTGTCTCGCAAGCTTTATTCTTAACACTTCTATTCTTTCCTTATAACATTTTCAGCATAAAATCGTACATCCTTAAGTTTTCAACTAATCGAACAAATTTTTCAATACACGTAAACAGCATAAGACAGTCTTTGTTTATTAGACCAGAGTGATTTCATTCATTCATCGTCATCTCACAAAGAGTACAATGATCGAGTACGTGGCTCCATTGACAAAGCAACAATAAATTGCTCACAAAAATATTCCAGTACAATTATCCTCAAACGTGACGTCTCGTTTCTCTGCACCTACGTTATTTCACCCCGCACAAAATCAGGTCCATTAAAACAAAATCGGGAAAATCCCATAAAACAAAGTATGTATTCACGATGAAATCAAGTGTTCCGCCAGGGGGCAATTAGACGTGAGGTTAACGTAGACGCAGGTACTATAAATATACTATTTGCAGTGGGTCAGGTAAAACGTCATTTCCTCGGAACAGAAGGAAATTTTCCTTCGATGCTCGTTTCCGTGTGGTCACGCGTATGCGATCGACGTCACTACACTCGTCACGAGACGCCTGGCTGAGCGGCATTTGGGAACTCCCGTGCGCACTCGTGTGAATTCCGTTGATCTCCCTTAATGGTTCATTCCACTCTCACCGTGAATTCCCCGGGTACAGGTTTGTCGACGCAATCGCCGCCGTGATCCCGTATAGAGGCGCGAGAGATATCGTCCGCTTGTACTTACTTTCTTCGTTTGAACCAGCGAATTGCAACCAACGATTTCAACTGTCTAAGTAATCCATACTGGCCTATGATGGTTAATCATCGTCCTGGATCGTTCATTGAAAGAATACGGTCACATTGATCCACGCGTGCTTCGCGCTATTATGGTCCCGGGAATTCCGAGTCCAGGTGATACGTGAGGAAGTATAACGATGTAAAACGTTCGTCATCAATGTCGCTTCGCTCAAACTTCGCTAAAACTTTGTTCAAGTGTACCGATGAGTGGATAATAATATAGAATACCAAACTATAAATCTGATCCTTTCATTCTAAAATTATTTCAAATTAACCAGAGATATATTTTATTTTATTTTTGTGTATATTATGGTACATGTAAATGATTTACAAAAACATTTTAACATTTTGAAACCATCTAATGCCATTCGATAATTATTATAATTTTATCACTATCATATATAATAATTCCCATTATAACATTATACTTAGTAAAACCTAATTTTTCTTGCCTTTGATCAGCAAATCCTCCTAAAATATTTAAAAGAAATTAGAGTTCTGTAAGTTTATATTGTATTTGTAACAGTATTCAACAGGTGAATTCCATCAAATGAAAGAGACAAAGGACTAATGATGCCTTATTTTACCGATAATCTTATAAATGCACATTAAAATTAGTGTCATACCATCTATATAAGACTATGAAAAAAAACAAACTATTATATAAAAAATACATGTTACTAATATTTTATTTTGTAATTTAGAATACGTAGCCATATGAATATATATTTTTAAGCAGTTTTTAATTAGATTCGATGTGTGTTGCCGTGTATTCTATTACTTTTTAGAATCTGCATCATTGTTTTTAGTACCCACTTTTAGCAGGTCTACTAGCGATCGAAGTAAATTAACTATCTACGTTTTAAGAGCACAAAATATGTGAACATGTATTTAACTAAAAATATAATTAAAAATAGATTTAATTTTTATTTTATTACTATTGTTGTAAATTAATTCGAATAAATATGAACTTAAATCTATATCTACAGTTTGATTATGTCATAATACACCAGAAAATATTTTTTAAACCTTCTTATTTATTTTCAAAACTTTTACCCTCCTTTTAAATTGTTATGCGTTTAGTAATTATTTGTAATTAAATCAAGAAATTATTGCCATACGACTGGTTACGATCGGACATATTTTAGACTGCACAATACCGCCAAGCCGGAAATGCCTCGGTGGCCTTGTTTTTATCTGTAGATCCTAGATAAAGAATACAGAATTCCATAGATCTCAACGATATTTTGCGTACGTATACGGCGATCATACGCGCCTTGATCCCGCCGCCGAGGTTCTAAATGAGACGAGATCTTACTTTCATGCATCAAGGTCCCTCTAAGAGCACGGAAATGGAGTGGCACTTGCTCTGCATCAGGACAATAAAACGTTCATTTACATGTAATCCGGCAATTCATTAACTACTCATTAAGGAATAATGACCAAATTTATTCAATTTTTTATTAATTGAAATGATGTTGATTCCTTAACAAGTTTTCCTGTGTAGCTGCAGGATTCAATATCATTTGTAGCAGATGACTGCGAAGAAGATTAGTACCTAATTAAATGTAAATTGTTTGCTCTTTATTGTTCAAAAACTTTATTAACGCAACTTTATTGGCCAATCACGTTGTTCATTAAATATCTTAATACTGAAGTTTATGAAATGTTTTTTTTCCGAGTTGCGGGCAGTAAAAAATGTTTATACCACTTCAGTACTTTTTTCCGCCGATACCCTTAATTTTATGGTTAAATATATATAATAAGAATTATTAAAGCAGTACATGTGTCTTAAGAGCAAAATAAATTCTGAACAAATTGACAAACGTAAGTGTATTATTTGCTAGTTTCTACTGATTGAATACTTAATAATAATAAAATGGTAGCCGCTGTTAAAAAGAATTTCGACCAGAAGCTGAAATGTACTTCAAACACGTACTTTCAACGTGTAAACTCAAACAAGTAAGTATTTATGAAATTACATTCACACGACACATTTCTCTTAGAATGGAGTAGACGATTTATGAATACCGTATACAACGAAATGAAAAGAGGATAGAGATGTACGACGGAAAGGAAAAAAAAATCGAAGACATCGATACGTCCCACTGCTGGAAGCACAATTCCCCGCGGGAAATGTTAAATGCTTGTGTTTTCACTTGATAAACACACTACCTTCACAAAATACACTTGCATATTTTATTCGAGACATTTTAATAATAGGAATCTGGGATTGATAGCGCGTGCAGGACGCAGGCTTATCAAGAAATTTCTTTAGTTAAGTAGAAATGTTTACGGCACACGTAACACCAATACGTCAAATAGATCTTTATATGACGTCTGGTTGTTGGAATGGTGTCACTTGAATTTATATAATAGTTATTAGACTGCATTCGTTCATGGATATTCACATATTTTACATAATCAAAATATGAAAGCCGGGATTTAATAAAAACCAATAACAATCGTATTGAATATTATTGTGTACGATGTATCAATATTTAAATGACGGCAGTTCTAATACGATATTAAGTAAAGTATATTATTCAATGAAGTTGCACGGCAACGCCATCCTGAATGGTAATGACTCATCCATCATCGAATTAAAACGTGGACCTTGATCCTGATGCTCAACGATTTTACCATGAACTGCATTATGTTACTTGTTCCATACTGGAGGAAAATAAAATTCAAAGGAAACGGAACGGAAACATATAATTATTTGGTGAGGCGTGAACGTTTCTTGCACGATCTATGTAAACGTTTTCAGGTAGATATCTCTTCGAAACTCATTGATTTCTCTGGGAACTTGGTAACGCAACGATTCTGTTTACGGTTCTTATTAGCAATGATTTATCCTTCTGCAGCTAATCCGAGTGATTTCAACAATATTCAATTACATCGCGGACATTTAACGCGAACGGAATGAATAGCGTCTG